AGCAGTCAAAATATCTGTTCACATGCTTTCTGGACATTTTAATGAAAATTGACTGGAAGAACTCTTCAAGTTTATGGGAAATGTTTGTTTTGCCTTGTCAACAGATGAAAAACATTCATCCTAAAGCCAGTTTTCTGTATTTTAAGTAAACATTTTCAAGATTTGGACTTAGTCTTACAAAAGTGCTCATTATATTGAAATTATGTGTCTCATTTAAGTATTCCCACTAGAGATCTCAAAGTGCCAGCAAAACAGTATTATCTGGTACAGTAATATGTCGCTATTACTTAATCCAATATGAAGAAACGTATCTCAGTCATGTAAAAGCACTGTTTGTGTGTGTATGTGTGTATGTGTATGAAATAGTCAAACATTTGATCTCAGTTAAATAATATAAGAAGAGAGAACCTAGTAAATGAGTGTGATATAAAGTAGATTTTACATGTAAGATATCTTACAGTTTTGTAAGGAGTCACAATTACTCTGATGAATGGGAACAGTACTCAACCTGATGAGCAAAATATTTAAATCTTTCAGCAATTTAAATACATCTTGGCTCTAAGTACATACATCTTTAACCCTGGTAAAGGGTAAGGGTGGAGGATAGTAACTAAGGAACTAAAAACTCCATTCACAAATACAAAAAGAAGGGAAATCAATTAACAAAGTTATAAGAAATGAATAATGAGGTTATTAATAAATAGTGTCTCATAATGGGACTATTTGTAAAAGAAATAGCCCACTAAATGTGCTTGATGAAGATATGTGGTGAATCATTAAATAAAGCTGTATAGACATTTTCCAGGTAGTCTCTTTTATTGTCTAATTAATATGTATTCATTTATTATGTTTCTTAATTTAGGATTAGAGAAATCATGTCTCACGTATATTCACTTTTTATGCATTTATGTATTTATTTGTCGGGCTTGGGACTTGAACTTCAGGCCTGGGAGCTGTCTCTGAGTTTTTTCTGCTCAAGGCAAGTGCTCTACCACTTTAAGCCACAGCACCACTTTCAGTTTTCTGGTGGTTAATTGGAGATAACTTTAATGGACTTTCCTGCCTGGCCTAGCCTTAAACCATGATCCTCAGATCTCAGCCTCTTGATAGCTATGTTTATAGGCATGAGCCACTGGCACCTGGACACATTTTTTAACTAAGATTTATAAATTATAAATTATAGTCAGATCATAGATCCCCTCTAATCTGTGAATCCTTCTATCATCTCTGTGCTATGACCAATATTATTCAGAAGATATTAGTAGCAATTGCAATTTAGTTTTTTAATTCCACATGAAATACGAATACAGTGCAGGTTCAATATTAGTTGAATTCTTTCAATCAGCAATTCTTACCTAAGGATATATCTTCTAATGAGTTCAAACAAGAAGCATTTATTGACGTCTTTTTGCTACCTGCTAGAAAACATTTGAGCTGACTTAGGAAATGCAAGGTAAAGTCCATATACCAGAAGTCTTTCAAAAGTAGAGTATATGACCTTTAACAGACAATAGCACTGTCAGGACATTGCTAACTTACAGGCAGGTATGGAAGCTATGGGAAATTGAAGGGAAACCAAACCATAATGTTAAGGGACTAGAAAAACAAACAAGAGACAAATCTCTATATAAGGTGATTCTTTTCATGATTCTTGACAGACAACTACAAATGGATCTAACAATAGTAGCATTAACCCATCTTGAACAGTGAGATGCTCCTATGACGGTAACTTGACAGGGTAATTTACAGCCAAGCAGGGCTTTATGACATTGACCACACTGCTAAGGGATGACCCAAATTATCTAAGAAGCCAGTGTGCTAATGATGGTACCAAACTATTGAAAGATCTAGTCTCAGTAAGTTTATACTATAATTAGTAGTATCTTTTAATGTCTCTTTTCCTGTAAAATGGTGAGAAGATTCAGAGAGGCACAAAAAGAACTAGAAGATAATCTAGATGGATTATTAGCAGAGGGAGAGGAAAGAAGGAAATAAGAAAGGAAAGTTGGAGGAAGGAAGAGACAAGGAAGCAGTTGCTCAGTATAGCAGTTTGTTGTCATAAAAAGGTAATGAAGCAGTGATGGCGTTTTGGTGTTGGTGTTACTTTCTGCTGTCAAGTATGTCCAGTGGTTGGCAACTTTTGAAACAATTTTGAAATCTGTAAAACAAGGAAAATTGCCCAGATTTGTGACTTCTTTGTGCTTTTCCTCCTATAACATTTTTTTGATGCAAACATAAAGCCATATAAACTGGGAAACAGCACAACAAGGCTGAATGGAAACTGGCTGATTTCAAGTTTATTATTTGAGGTCAAAAAGAAATGAGGCTTGAAATAGCAGCCACCAGGCCTGAACTCACCAGGAATCAAATGAATCAGATTTGGTGGGAGCTGAATAGTTTGCTTTTTGCTAGTTCTTTGTATTTTTTTTTAAAAAAAAGGCAATTTTTGAGCCAAGATTCTATAATTGCTTGGTTTTTTTCCAGTCTTATAATTGTCCTACAAGCAAGTACGGCTATTTTTTCATTTCTTTTTTTTTTTGTCGGTCGTGGGGCTTGAACTCTGGGCCTGAGTGCTGTCCCTCAGCTCTTCAGCTCAAGGTGAGCGCTTTACCACTTGAGCCACAGCGCCACTTCTTATTTTGTCATTTCTGTATGGGTCTCATTTCAGTCTGCATTTGACCAATTATATTAGAGGTATGCATTAATATATTGACTATGCGGTGGTATTGTCTCTGTTTCAACATTTATTTTGCTTGGCATAGGTGGTTAATGCCTATAATCTAGTTATTCAGGAAGCTGAAATCTGAGGATCACAGCTCAAAGCCAACTGGGCAGGAAAACCCTTAAGATTCTTATCTCCAATACACTACCAAAAAAAAAGCCAGAAGTGGAACTGTGGTTCAGGTGGTAGAGCATAGAGCACTAACCTGGAGCAAATGAAGCTCAGGGACATCTCCCAGGCCCAGAGTTCAAGCCCAAGGACCAGCACATGCATGCATGCTCATGCCCGCACGCATGCGCGCGCGCACACACACACACACACACACACACACACACACACACAGAGCAAAATGTGTTTAGAGAAATCTAAGTATTCCTACTTTAACAAAAGGAAATAGAGAGAGACAGAGAGAGAGAGAGAGTTGGATGATGGATGATAGACAGAATTTCACTTATAGGTGTGATTAATATGCAATGAAGATTACCTTTAAAAATCTACTTATTTTCTCTAGACTGGTTCAAAATTTTCATTACTATCCAAGAAAATGTCTACTATTATATCAATTATATCTATGCCATAATATTTTTTCATACCTAATGTGCAATTAAACTTACTAATAATATCCTTGCTTCTTAACACAGGTATGCAAGTAAAAATTCATTTTCACAGTGTTTATGCTTTGCCTTACTAATCCTAATAAGCTTCCTGGGCAGGTCACTGAAACTTCTTAGCCTTGAACAAAACATGCCTGTAAATATCAGTACCTACCCAATGGTCAATTTAATGTGTTTCAAGAGAAGTTTAAATTAGACTCCACTTGTCATTTTTTGATTTTTACATCACCATTCCAGGTACCTGACTCAATTTGATGTATCATGCTTCATTATGAATATTGCTTTTGAAACTTGTCAAAATGATTTTTGATTTGTTCTAAATTTGCATTTTATGACTTTGAAATCTCCCCTACCAAATGAGATGGCCCTTTCACTCTAAAAATATTCCCTAGTATAATTTGACACATAAAATCAAGGTATATTCATTTGTTGGGAAAAATTCAGGTTTTACTTTAGAAGGTATACTTGCTTTTTGAAACTTGCTTTTCATAATAAATTATATGGTCAGTTTTGGGGGGATCTTTTTGATCCATGGGTTGATGATTTAGCCAGCAACATTTGGCTTTCTTGATACCACTGGGACAAGTTTCATTACTCAACATGAATCTGATTGTATGCACATGAAGAAGCAGATTTCCATATCAGATTTCTAGACTTTCATTAATCTTGCATAGCCTATAGCAGGCAGTCACTTTCAAGTTGATATGTGACTTATTCTACTGAGAAGTTAATAATACTCTGCCAAATGTGAGGAGCTTTGGAAAAGGTGTCAACTGCTCACGAAAGAGAACAACCAAGCCATCATTTTATCCAAGTGTAGAATTACTACTGACCTGGAAGCTATGCGACATAGGACCATGAGCCTTTGAATACATGACTGTCCTTAAATATAACTGCAAATGAAAATAGTATTTTAAAGCTTATTAAATAGAAAACTCTTATGTTAAAAGGGAATTCTTCACAAATGGTGCAGTTTTACTTGGGCACTCTTTTCTCTCTAAGGATCTCAGGCTTAGGAAAAAAATGTAGTAAATTTGAGAGTCTTATAGCAATGCCATTGTGCACATATTTTAATTAATGAAATTTAATTTCTCTTAAATAGCAATAACTTCATTAGCAGTGACATATTGCCCTTTTCGTAAATGATTCATTGCATCATCATTGGGAGTGGAGTTGAGTTTGTATGGTGTATCTAGGGGGAGATGAATTTTCCCAGTTTGTCACAACTTGCACATAGCTCATATACAACAAAAATATTGATTGGGGTTATGGCTTATGAGGTTTTGTCTGTAAAATAGAATGTCATTATATGAGAAATGGGATTTTAATCCAGGGTTCTCAGAAATCTGAGAACTACTACATGCCCATGCCCTGTAATATCTCCAATGCAACGTTTCAAGTTGGGAGGAAACTTAACAATCAAGCTCAATGTCCCTTTAATCATTTAGCTAAAATTATGTTTGCCATGTATGGAAGACCAAATAAAATCAAAGATGGATCTCAGATAAAAAAAAAAAAGGGGGGTAAAGAGAGAAAAGTAAAAGAGGAAAAAAATATAGTGCAATACTTCTTGGTGATTTTCAACCAAAACACACTGCATTCACAAATTTGGGACATTTACTGATTCATCTATGTTTATTATAGTAAGATCTATTACTGTCTGCTTCAGCAACACATATACTAAAATATATTAAAATGGGAATGATCCAAAGAGATTGGCATGGCCCTGGTCCTAGGATGACACAAATATTCATGAAACATTTCACATTTTGATTGGAGTATTATTTGGTCATAAAAAAGAATAAAATTGTGTCAGCTACAAGAAAAATGAGTAAAACAGGAAATCATCTTCGTGAGTGAAATAAATCAAGCGCCAAAAGCCAATTACTGCACATTTTCATTCCTATGTGGAATCTAGGTCTCAAGTGATGATGATAATCATGATGAAGAAGAATAACAATAAAGACAAATAGCACATGAATATGAAAGGAGGAACTATGAGAGTGGGGAGCAGGATGAGGGAAGAGATATAAGAGAAAGTATTAGAAAGTAAAGAGTTTTGAAGTACATTTAAAGTACATTTCATGAGTATGTATGGAGACAGTATTTTGAAGCCCACCACATACTGTTGGAAAAGCAGTGATAAGGAAGGAAGGGAAGGTAGAAGAATATTAGGGAGGTGATGCACTTGTTCAAAGTATATTGGACGCATCTATGAAATTTTCACAGTGCAACTCCCTTATTCTCTTAATGATTCCTAAGAAAAAGATTCATCAAAGACTTTTTACGATCTGATTAAAAGTTAATTAATAAATTAATCAAAACTATTATTTAAAAAGACAGGCCAGCCTTGTGTGGGTAGATATCCCTATACATGGCTGTTGCTTTTTCATATTGGAAAACTAGAAACGTACCTGATGAATAACAATAATTTTCTAATATGCCACCACAGACTAGAATTGCTTAGGGACTAAATAACATTGCCCTGTACATGAACCAAAATATGTTTAGTCAGACGACTTCAGGGATAATGATTTAAGTAAAAAGACATTTTGTCCTATTTTCATGTGTAATTTGTGACTATGACACTATGTCTTTCTCTTTGTGTTCTAAGGTCTCTCTAAATTATCTTGACTTCTAATCAAAAGTTCAGACTAAAAATTATATCCCTTGGGGCTTCTTTATTTTCTATCAATTCTATTTTGTTTTACCAATAAAAGCTAATTATAACAGTATCTATGAGGTAGCATTTTGTGAAAATTAAGTGAAATAATTCATAAGAGTAATTACTACTTGGCACTTAATAAGCAAGGAAGATGTGCTGGTTTCGGTGATATTTTAGATTCAAGCAAGGGAAAGTTTCCAACAATGACACCAATACTTAGAAGTGTTTAGACTCACATGCCATGAAAAATGTTGAGAAGATCCTTGGGAAGTTTGCACTAGATAATGGGTCCCCAAATTTGGAGATGTAAAACAATTTTGGAAGCCCGTAAATTTCAGAAGCTATAAAATCAAGGTATTACTCGAAGCCAGTTCTGTCAGATTCCCACCCCCTGCCAAGACTTGAGTCTTGAGAACATGGATTATTACCATTCTTTTCTGGTTCTCATGATTAACAAACCAACCACCTGTGCAAGCACAATCTCATCCAACTCAGACGTTTCATACCTCTGTCTAAATCTAAAAAGGTAGTTTGTATGAGCAATGGAGACATGCATGATTTTCATATGTGCCAGGTTTGGCAGACATGTATATATCAGTGAATAATATTTGGTGGTAATGAGGCATGCTTCTTGAATGCTGTTAACATTCTTCAGAAGATGTTTTTCTAGAGCTTTCAAATGCCTGATGGAACCTCTCCTTGTCGTCTCCACGTAATAACTAACTTGCCCTTTTTTCAAGTTGATATGCACTGTTCTGCAAGAGGTTATTTTATTTGTTTGTTTGTTTCTTTGTTTGTTTTATTGTCGGGCGTGTGGCCTGAACTCTAGGCCTGGGTGTTGGGTGCTGTCCCTCAGCTCTTCAGCTCAGGCTAGCACTCTATCACTTGAGCCACAGCGCCACTTCTTTTCTTTTTCTGCTTATGTGATGCTGAGGAATTGAACCCAGGGCCTCAGGCATTCAAGGCAAGCGTTCTACCAATGAGTCACCTTCCCAGCCCCTGCAAGAGGTTATTAAGGAGCACTCTCTTCAAATAAATTTTGGAACAGATTTTTCCAGTCTAGTATTTCTCCATTCTCTGACTACCAGAGCCTTTAAGATGCCAATGCAAACAGCAACCCTTGAACAAAGAAGGATATTCATTTGAATACACCAAGTAATGATTTCTTTTTTTTCTTTGTAGTATAACATTTTTTGTTGGTGATGGTCAACTGGAGTTAGAGTCATGTGGACTATTCTGCCCAGAGTGGCTTTGATCTGTGATCCTCAGACATCAGCCTCCTAAATAGCTAGGATTACAGGCCTGAGCCAACAGTGCCTGAGAGGCTGTCTGGTTTTCATTGTCTATCTTCAGAGGAAAATATTTGAACAGAACACAACTTGGAAAATGGTATGTCCCCCCATTATATGAAATCTGAGACTTTTGAACTTGGGTCTGGGTTTCAATAGGAATTTCTTCAATGTGACCTGAGAAAGTTTCTTACACAAGACCTTGCTCTCTCTGGGCAGGAGCTTTCCTGCTTGAGTTGTGTCAGCAACCCTTTTTTCTTTCCTTCTACATAAGCTTCCCAGAATCCTGAGCAGCTGAGATAATAAGCACATGCAAGGACAACCATTGGTTTAGATAGAGTCTTGTTAACTTTTTGCCTGCAATGAAGACAATCTCTACCTCCAGAGAAGATAGGATTAAAGACATGAGCTATCAAACCCAGCTACTTCACCATGTTTAATTAATTACATGTCTGATACATTTGAAATGGACCAACAACCTTCATTGATGACAATGAAGAGGTAACAAAGCTGGACCTAGTGGTGTAAAATACCAGATCTCAAGTGGCTGAAGGAAGCATGTTAGTCCAGGATAGTACAGACTACACAGCAAGTTCCAAGCCAGCCAGAGCTAAGTAGTGAGACATTATCTCAAATATAAATAGTAGCCAGGCGCCAGTGGTTCATGCCTGTAATCCTAGCTACTCAGGAGGCTGAGATCTGAGGATTGTGGTTCAAAGCCAGCCCGGGCAGCAAAGTCCCTGAGACTTTTATCTCCAATAAATCACTAGTAAACCAGAAGTGGCACTATGACTCAAGAGATAGAGTGCTCACCTTGAGCTGAAGAGCTGAGGGACAGTGCCCAGGCCCAGAGTTCAAGCCCCACGACCGACCAATATATATATATATATATATGAGGCCAAACATAGATACTAAGCCAGCTGATTTGATAAAGGAAACTAATTGTTCCCTATAGTAATTTATAGTTCAACCATTTCACACAGTACTTATCAAGAAATGATAAGTATCCCTAGTCAGATAAACTAAAAAAAAATAACCTAATCCATTTCACTTCTTCAAAGAACTTAGAGTACAAAACAAAAGAACATACAGGTTTTGGTAGGTAGTTTTTCTATTGCTAGAGAAAATATCTCAGATATTCCCACTAGTTCAAGTGTCACAGTCTTTCCATACAACATAGAGATACTTGAACGTTAGTATCTTTTTCAAATGAATGCACTCCACATCCACAAGTGCAGTTTCAGGCCCTCTAGCTTTCCTTTGTAATCGTAGAATTAACATACTTAGTGTGATTTCACACACATAAGTTTTGTGAGAAGTAATAGCAACATTGGCTTGCTTTGTAGTTTATTAAAAATAAAGTGCTCTCATAATTCACTTTAAGGTAGAGTGAGCACTTCATCCTTCACTGGTCATATGGAAGGAAATTATGAAAATATAAAATTTAAAAGGCATGATGTAAGCTCATTGCTTTCTAATCACCTAATTTGTTCAAGCAGCCCATGTTTGCAACTACCTTCCAGGTCACTAGGAAAACCTTGTCAACTTAAGAGAGGAACGGTGAATCTTTATGCATGCTAGCATTCCATGTTTTTTATTTTGTTTTAGAAAACTTATTTTTTTTTTTACTTAACAAGGGAGAATAGGGCATGTACAAAACTAGAACCTTCTAATCTCTTCTTTTTGTGGAGATCAATGGAAAAAATCTCTTTAGATTCTTGACACAAAGAATAAAAACAAATTCACCTCGAAGGTAGATAGGAAACCAGAGCATGACTAAAAGTTTGCTGGGAAATAAATCACAGTGCCATAGTGTGAAATTGGGCAGCATTTTTCTATTCCCCCTCTAACTGCTGCACAAAATGGTCAGCTAAATAGATTGCATCTGTTCACACAACTTGTGAATCTTGGTCATTTGAGAATCAAGCTGAGCATGTATTCTCAGGTAAGTTATGGTAATAATTGAGACAATGTTTTTATTTTCATAATATTCTTTCTGCAATTTGTAACATGTAAAAGCACCTTTTATCCTTTTATTCTGTTATTCAGCTTTCAAATGCCCTACAGCTACTGTGGAGAGCTGTAACAATTATTAGGTAGGTTCAGTAATCAAAAGACTCAAGTGTGGACAACTCTGCTGTAGAAAATCTGGCTTGGAGCTAATGAAGCTAACGCATCAGGACTCTCTCCAGTGGCCACTTCAGGGACTTTTATCTGAATTCGCAGTTTTAATTTTCAATTTTTTTTTGAAAACACATAGGCACCCCACATTGTATGAACTTCAGATATTGGGAAGCATGGATTGTCTCTTCTTCTTTCTTCTTTCTTTGAGTTATCTGCAAATAATTTTATGAAAGGATTTCAGTTTAACATGTCACTGTCACCTCCTCCATTATTCTCCATCACCCAGCCATCCCAACTCAAACCATTTCCTCAAGTTTCCAAGTTCTGTTGTCTTATTTTAATTAGGTCAATGTTTAGGCATATACATTGAGTTTTGTGAGTTGTGTCCAATTACTGCTCTTCTTTAACTTGTCCAAGGCACTCCCCTTAGTCCCCAGCCTCCTGGGGAAGACATGTTTCAGCTTCCTGGAATTTACTAATTTTACTCATTTACTAATTTTACTAATCCAGCTTCCTGCTGGATTAGTATAATTCCCTTGTATGGATATCTGTATATTATCTTGAACCATTCATTGGTTAAAGGGTTTCTGAGCTGTTTCCAGAACTTGGTTATGGTGATTAGTGTAGCAGTGTCCATGGGTATACTGATATCTGTATTATATTCTTACTTGTAATCTTTTAAACTCAGAGTAGT